TGATGTTAGGAAAGTGTGACGGCAAGAGGAGAAGGGGATGACAGAGGATGAGATGGCTGGACAGTGTCTGCGAAGCAACCAACATGAAATTGACACAACTACTGGAAGCAGTGGAAGATAGGAGGGCCTGGCGTTTTCTGGTCCATGGGGTCACGAAGAGTCGGACACGACTAAACGAACGAACGTGCCTGTTCTGGGTGTGTACTATATGTACAGAGTTTTTGCAGCATGGGTTTGGGCTGGGGGGGTCTGATGGGTCTTGCAGTGTGTAGCTGTAGCATTTTTAGTCCCTGCTAGAATGTTTTTTTTTTTAATTCTGTGGCTCCTAGAGATTGTGTATTTTGACCTCTCTTTTGTTTTAAAAGGTGTTTGGTTTAAAATGTATTGGTGTAAAATGTGTGGGTTTAAAATGTATTTTAGACTCCAAAGTCTCTTCCCCCCCCATTGTCTTCTCTCTCTCTCTCTCTCTCTTTTTGTGCTTAAAAGCACAAACCTTTGTCTGAGGGGTCTGTGTGCCCCAGTTATGATCTTTCTTTCTTTCTTTCTTTCCTCTTTTCCCCATTGTTCTCTCCCTCCCTGCCCTTTTTTTAACCAGTTGTTCATCTTAAAGGTAAAGGTAAAGGTTCCCCTTGACAATTTTTTTGTCCAGTCGTGTCCGACTCTAGGGGGCGGCGCTCATCCCGCTCTTCAAGCCATAGAGCCAGCGTTTGTTCGAAGACAATCTTTCCGTGGTCACATGGCCAGTGTGATTTAGACACGGAACACTGTTTACCTTCCCACCGAGATGGTACCTATTTATCTACTCGCATTTGCATGCTTTCGAACTGCTAGGTTGGCGGGAGCTGGGACAAGCAACGGGCGCTCACTCCGTCGCGTGGATTCGATCTTACGACTGCTTGGTCTTCTGACCCTGCAGCACAGGCTTCTGCGGTTTAGCCCACAGCGCCACCACGTCCCTGGTTTTTAAAAAAGTCTCCTCCTAGTGGTAGTGGACAACTCTCTTCCAGTCTTCCAGTAGAAGAACTATCTGTTTAACAACCCTTTAGCAGTCTATAGATTATTTGTTTGTTTATTTATTTGTTTGTTTATTCATTTATTTATTCATTCATTCATTCATTCATTCATTCATTCATTCATTCATTCATTCATTCTATTTATACCCCACCTATCTGGTCATCGCGACTTCCTACCGGCACCTCAAAATACAACCAAAAAACAGTCGGAACAGATTAATCGCGTTTCAATGCATTCCTATGGAAAATGGTGCTTCAACTTACAACCATTTAGAGTTACGACCATCTTCTGGAATAGATTAAGTTTGTAAGTCGAGGCACCACTGTACTAGAGAACGTATTCACTAGCATGAACTGTATATTGTCCAGATTCACCTCATCCACACCATGGCAGCTACCAGACACTGACAGATGCACTGCCAGGTGTTCGGAAAAGAAGCACCCAGCAAGGTGTCATCAGTGAATTCATGACAGCAAACTCAAAAAGCCTTGGATTATCTTACTGAGGAGATTCATACAGATAACGAAAAATCATTATCCACAACAATGAAACTAGTAATACAATACAGTACAGTGAACCCTTGACTTACAAACGGCCTGAGTTATGAACGTAATCACTCTCATAGGAAAATATTGACTTGACTTACGAACTTAGATTTGAGTTACGAACTAAAAAACTGTGTGGGAGGCAGGGAAAGCCGCCTAGAGTGGCCTTTTAGGCCAGATGGGCAGGGTATAAATCAAATAAATAAATAAATAAATAAATAAATAAATAAATAAATAAATAAATAAATAAATAAATAAATAAATAAATAAATAAATAAAGCACGAAATTTGAACTTTCAGTTAACCATTGGCCAGCGAAGAGGGTGCCTGTCTGCTTCCTCGCTCTTCCCAGAGTTTAGAGAGTGGATTGGGAGACAGTCTTCAGACTGTCTGATACTGTCTGGACTGTATTTTATTTTTGGCAATTTTGGGGGTTTTTTGGTTTCTGATTTTTGCTTTTGACATTCTTTTTTTAAGCAGAGCCGATTGCCTGTTCTGGGTGAGTACACTGTATGTTTTTACTGTATGCACTGTACAGGGTTTTTTGCAGCTTGGTGGGGGGTAGGGCTAGGTGTGTGTGTGGGGGGTCTTGCAGTGTTTTAAAATGTCTGTGCCTGTAGTTAAAATATTCTTTGAGTGCATGTACTCTTTGTTCAGGAAGGCAGGCATTTTTGTGCTGGAGGAATGTTTGCTGGATTGCTATGCCTTGCTGTGGGGAGGTATGTTTCTGTGCTCTTATGGGTCTTCCATTGTTTTAAAATGTCTGTGCCTGTGCTTAAAATGTGGATCCAGAGTCTTTTTGTGCTGGAGGAATGGTCGCTGGGTTCTGTGCCATGCTGGGGGGGGGGTTACCGCCCCTCAACCCAAGAACCAAAAACAGCCAGAACGGATTAATGGTTTTCAATGCATTCCTATGGGAAATAGTCGGGTTACTTACCTGTAACCATGGTTCTTCGAGTGGTCATTCTGTGAATTCACACAAAAGGGTTAAATCAGCGCCAGCGATGATCCTCTTGGAACGTTCTAGAGCTTGAATAGAAAAGAAACAGAGTTGTACATCACCCATACTGCGCATGCTCCACCCACCCCAGCCTCAGTTCCATTTATCCGCCACCAGAAACAGCCACTTGAGCTGAGTATGACTATGAATTTAAAACACCCAGTGACGGATAGTGGGGAGGCAGGGTGGGATTGTGTGAATTTACAGAATGACCACTCGAAGAACCATGGTTACAGGTAAGTAACCCGACTTTCTTCATCGTGGTCTTCTGTGAATGCACACAAAAGGGTGATTAGCTAGCTGACTCACCGGATGGAGGGACGTCACTGGAGGACAGAAGTTAACACCGCTCTCTCGAAGGATGTCTCTCTCCTAGCTCTCAGGTCTAGTCTGTAATGGGTGATGAATGTAGAGACGTTAGACCACATGGCAGTCCGACAGATATCAGGTACATCAATGCCACGTAAGAGAGCTGTAGATGAGCCACTGCCCTGGTAGAGTGAGCTCTAAGTCCTTCAGGAGGATCTCTGTGCATGAGCTCGTAGGTCAGTGAGATCGTGGAAACGAGCCATCTGGACAGGGTCGACGGTGATGCTGGTAACCCTTTCTTACAACCAAAATAACAAAGAAAAAGTCTATTGGATTAACTGAGTCCTTTCGTTCTTGAAACATAAAAGGCAAGCGCCCTCCTGATGTCCAAGGTGTAGAGCATGCGCTCAGTTTCATTAACCGGATTTGTAAACAATGTAGGTAAAACAAGAGGTTGGTTCAGATGAAATTCAGTGACAATCTTGGGAAGAAAGGACACATCAGTATGTAAAATGACCTTCTCCATGAAAAATCGTAGAAAAGGTTGGTCCGCTCTCAGTGCAGCTAATTCGCTAGCCCTACGGGCAGAAGTAATAGCTACCAAGAAAAGGGATTTGAGGGACAAAAATTTTAAGTCACACTTAGCCACAGGCTCAAAGGGAGGCCGCATGAGAGCATGTAGAACTAACTGTAGAGACCACTGCAGTACTGGTGGTTTAACTGGTAGTCTAAGATTCACCAAACCCTTTAGAAAAGCTTTAACAGTTGGATGTGAAAAAAGGCGGGAAGCTCTCGAACCTGGAGGTGAAAGGAAACAATTGTTGCTATGTAAACCTTCAAGGTAGAAATCGAAAGGTTAGTCAAAAAGAAAACGAAGAAACTGTAACAGTGTAGCTAAATTCACTGGAGACGCAACCAGTCCTCTGGAAGTTGCAAATTTCAGAAAACTTTTCCACTTGTAACTATACAGTTTCGTAGTGGATGGCTTCTTTGACATGGTTAATACCTCCTTGATCTGCGGGATATCCTCCTCGCAGTCAGATGTAGAGTGTCCAGGTCCGGGTGACATACCTTGCCTGCATCCTGTGTCAGAAGTCCAGCCTTGGCAACAGGTGGTTGAGCAAGGCTATTTGAAGTAGATGGGGTAGCGGCGGAGGCGGGAAGCTCCATAGAGACAGTTTTGAGGCGGCCAGAGCAGCGTCCCAGAGATGGTATTTCAATCGCTGCTGGCGCGCACGTAAGACAGGTTTAGTAAAAGCCCAGAATGCCTACAATCCTGGGGTGAGTGAGCCTCCCCAAGACAAAAAAGGCACTTGTCGTGTCCGTCTTGGAAGGGGAGCTTTCTATCACAAATTATGCACTGGCTAAACGGACCGGAGGGGGACATAAGCTGTATACGAAAACGACGTCTCGCTAGGGGAGACCGTTGATTTAGGCGGGGGAAAAACGGTATCGCCGAAGTAAAGGGAAAAAGCAGTTTCAGAGTCCAAAAACCAGAGCCGTGTCAGGATAGGAGATAGTCAGAATAGCCGGTAACGTTGCAAGGGTCAGAAAAGCCTAAAGTCCGAAAAAATAGTGAAATAACAGGAACTCTAGCCAAAAGGAACCACTTCGCACGGTGGAGAAATGGAACTGAGGCTGGGGTGGGTTGAGCATGCGCAGTATGGGTGATCTACAACTGTTTCTTTTCTATTCAAGCTCTAAAATGTTCCGAGAGGATCATCGCTGGCGCTGATTTAACCCTTTTGTGTGCATTCACAGAAGACCACAATGAAGAAGCTGATTTGACTTACAAACTTTTTGACTTACAAACTTCCTTCCAGAACGGATTAAGTTTGTAAGTCAAGGGTTGACTGTACAAGTAGGTTACAGCAATGAAAGCCCTGACACTGGTCACATGTCTGTATCTATGTAGAAGCATGAAAAAAATTGCAAAATATTGAAAGTTGCTGATAATTCATCAAGATTAGCTGAGATATGCCCTGACCCAGCCTCCAATATATATCCCCCTTTGTAAATATCTTTTTAATTGCCATTTCAAAAAGACAGCGTTATGAAGATTTGGATTCTTTGTCATGGACAATTTTAAAAAGTTAAAAAGTTAAAAGAAAACACAGAAAAGCATTTATCACCTGGGAAACCACTTCATTCTTGCAAGGTTCTGAATATGTTGTTTCCGGAAGGCCACCAAGAAATTTCAACTGAAACACGGAAGCATCTGCCTCTGGATCCTGTTTTGGACTAGGTTTTATATACAGAGCATATGGGTTCAACTTGCTGAAACCCTGTTAACATATAAGAATAAAGAAATGTCTTCCATAGCTTTCCATCACTTGATCATGCAAACCACCGCCAACAAACAAACTACTGCTTAAGACTGTTTATATTCTACATCCTTGGCTCTGTAAGCTCAGTCCCATCTCTGGTTCAACACTGTTCTGAAGATATCATAGCACACCACTGTTCAGAGTACTTAAGCACAGTTGATGTCTGAAACATTATATTATTTTTAAAAACAAAGTGATGATACAATGGAAATATAAACACTGTAATTATCATTTTTTTAAAAAAAATCAGGGTATTGTTTTTTTTAAATAACATCAAAGTTTAGCTACTCTGTAAGCAACAAACCCATTACCTAGCCTAGGACAGTCTTGGAAACAAAGGCATATTGTTATGTGCTATCAAGTCGTTGTATGCTTTAATTACCCCTAAGGATACTTAGGGCATTTTCTCCCCAACCTTATTACAAAAAAGCTTGAGATTCCCTGCCTCCAAAACACACTAAATCCAGCATCACTCTCCCTCCAGTTTCCTCCACCCCTACAAATAGCTTGCCCTCCTTTTACATTGGAAGGAATATTCTCTTTGCAGACAACGGCATGACCCTCCAATCTCAGCATATTGTGGAGGTAAATATCCTCATCAGAGCTGGTGTCACAAAGGAAAAGGTAAAGAATGCCATCTCTGTATTCATCCACGACTCCAACCAGCAGCTTAAGTCCACACAGCCTTTGGAATTCATGTAGGGCACTGATGGTCCAATCATCCTTGATGGGGAGGGGAAAAAGGAAAATTACAAGCCTAAAGAGAAAAAGCAATTTCAGTTTCATCTGACATTTGTCATCATTATTCTACTTACCAGGATAGGCATGAAACAGGTTGGCTCTTCTGGGAAATGCATAGCCAGAGAACACAAGTCTGCCTACTGTTGTTTTATAATGATGTTAAAGATATACTGCCTCCTCCCTAATAATCTTGCAGTTTATTTTTTTCTTGAGTCCCAAATTCACAAAACAGGATCTAATTCACTCTTTACTATTCAGTTCCTCCAGAAATATATCATGCCTATAGGGGGGGAAATTCCAGACAAGGGCTGGAATCTTATCTGTGTTTGTGTAAAAGTCTAAGAAACTTGCGATAGCTAATTGCAGCTACAGTAACTGACAAGTTGCCCCAAAGATTCATCTTGGATCAGGGATGTCATCAGGCACATGACAAGAATTTATCATCACAATCAGCCACACCAAACTGAACAGAGCCCACAAAAATACCAATAGGATTCTGTCTCATAAAAAATTAAATATCCAATCTATTAATTGCAGCCAATTTAAAAAATATATAGCAGAATCACATTTAGTTAATTCATTCCACTGTCCTCAACTCAATAGTCACAATATTGTAACAACAGGAACTTCAAAGAATTTGATATGAAAGATATTTGCAAGATGAAGTCCAGTCAGTGTAATTTTACAGAACAATTACTTCCAAAACTCAGTTGTTAAATGTTATCAGCCTACATGTAGCTTATTGCCTATCAGGAATCAGGAAAAAGTGCCTATATTATAGTTCCTCTACACTCTACAAATGCCTACCATAAACTGATGGTAACCTCTCTGGTCATGGCAGTGCATGCTTTAGGGTTCAACCAGACTGACACTTTCACGCTTTCAGCTACAGAGCATATTGCTATTTTTTCTGATATCCAGAAGACAGTTTGCTTATATCAGCTGTTGTGTACTTGCGTTCTATGGTCAGAGCACAACTATTGGCACCTTTGAGATCTTTGACAGGCACCTTCCCAGATCACAGATCACATCCCAGGTTTCATAAGGTGTGAAAGCAAACTCTTGCCTCCCATCTGTTTGAATACCAGTACACACTTCTCAAGTTCTTTTACATCTTGCAATGAGTTCAGGGCCAGTTTGGTAGACTATAAGGAATGAGACACTTGAGTGCTAAGCTTTACTGTATTATACAATATTTTAAAAAAACAATTTAGATTAATTGATTGAATGACTGACTACTGCAGTAACACAGGAGTTATGTGATCCTTTAACCAGCCCCAGTTAACAAACTGGTTGCAGTATTTTTGGACCCACTAAAGTTTCCAGACAGTTTCCAAAGCCAGCAACACGTAGAGCACATTACAGTAATTCAGCGGGATGTACCTAAGGGCAGATCAGGCCTCCAGGAACAGGCACGACGGGTGCACTAGCGGGTATACAAAAACACTCTTCTGTCTTGTCTGAATTAAGTTTCAGTTTGTTCACCCTCATCCCATTTCATTACTGACACTAAGCATTGATCTAGAGCTGAAACAACTTCCTCAGATTTAGATGGAAAGGAGAAATAGAGCTGGATGTCATCCACATACTGCTGATACCAAGCCCTCAAATCCCAGACAGTCTTCCCAGTTGTTTTATGGAGATGTTAAATAGCATAAGAGAACGAACAAGACTCTGAGGGACTCCACAGGCCAGGGTGCTGAACAGGGGTTCCCCAACACCACCTTTGCCTCAGGAACAACTGCTGAGCTATGGCGGAAGATGGTGTTACTACTGTCAAGGAGGAAGGAGGGGTCCAGTCTGAGCAACACATTCACAGGATATTCCAGAGAGAACTCAGAACAACAAGTAGTATTGTAATGCTTTTTCCCAAAATTGTGCTCTGGAGAGATGCTGGTATCAAGGTGGGACTGGGGTGGGTGAAGGGGGGCAGTTGGCTCAGTGAGAGAGTGACTGAAAAGGGTGGAGAACTGGATAGTGAAAAGGGTGGACAGGAGGAAGGGGGACAGGGCATTAGGAAAAAATGTTGCTGTCTGCATCCTCTGAACAGATAGAGCACTTAAATAAAAAATGTAAACAATGGATACACAGTACTCTTACAAAGCATGAAGTGGTATAGAGAAGGTAAAACAACACATTTGAAATCTCCCATCTGGACAAGCCCTTAATTACAGACTAAATTGTTCAAATGTGCTTTATATGGGGCCACCTTCAAAGAACCTTCAGAAACTTTAGCTGGTCCAAAATGTGACAGCTAAAATGTCACGCAGATTGACTCAATTATTCCAATAGTGTCACTGATTCCAGCCTGTTTCCAGGATGAATTCTATGTGCCAGCTGCTATAGTTAAATGGTGACATTTGAGCTCAAGGAGATGTTTCTGTATGAGACAAATATCTAAATCCAATGAAATCTGACTTCCAGTCTAGCTCTGGAACACAGGAGCTTTTTAAAAAAATTCTGATTATCAGTAACGAAGTGGACGAGAGCAAAGCAACTGAAGCTTAACTTAGATAACACAGGGGAACTCAGTCGAACAGCAGATCAAGTATCAGTAGTTCAGAACATATTAGATAAAATAACACTGCCTTTGAAGATGCAGCCCTGAATATACTGTAGATGGCCAGATGTCAGAAATGACAGGAATACATCAGCACAGGCATGGCTTTGTGCGACAACAGGATCCGTTTCTGGAGATATCAGTCCTTACCATTGTGACATGTGGCTGCTAGAGAACAGACACAGAAAACTCCTGTTGCTCAGGTCTAGTAGTTTTCTGTAGTGAAAAAGGAGTCTTTCTTTGTGGCTGCTAACAAGAATTGTAACATTGCAAATGCCCTTATAGTATGTTCTCATTCTTGGCACTTTGCCAAAGTTTGAGCTGCGTTTGTCACCAGTAATTTCATCTCATCTGGAATACTGTGAAGTTTTTATTATAAATTGCTTTTCACACTGCCTAAACATTTCCACTTTCGAGAAACAAGATTTAAACAAATCCTAACAAATTAAACACATACCTTTCTGGGTTTCACCCAAGCTAAAGAACAAGGGATAGCTTGGGCAGGTAGCTTTGCATAGGAGGACCTGTAACATAAATTGTATAATGGGTTTATGAGGAATAAGGACCAGTATATATAATCCAGCGCCCCTCTTACCAGCTGTCCCAATCCAATTTGTATCTCTTTTGATCTGGATAATGTAAAGGAAATTTTGCCTGTGGATGACTGATAGCTAAAAGGAAATAAAGAGGGTTCATTACTGCTTGCGATGCTCTGTCTCCTTTGAACAGAACTTCACAACCCTGTACACATCCAAGGTGTGTCATTGCATTTTGATGGGATGAGCTGCTCAGCTCTGGTGAAAGATGGTGTCACCTTCAAGTAGGAAGGTCTGGTTTGTCACACATTCACAGGACAAAGGGTAAAAACCACAACATAGAGCATTTGACTCTCTCAGTCCACAGACAGAACCACTGGTTCTGAAAACCTCCTATCTAACATGGCAAAAGCTAGGAAAATGGCCATTACTGTTGCCCTTAAAAGCTAAGAATGAAACCTAGTTAAAGTTTAATACTATCCTGAGGCTCTATACACACCATTCCCAGGACTGATCAGGGAGGTATCACTGAAAAATTCTCCTGACATGTTGGTGGAATCCTAGGCTGTCCCACTTGATCTTCCAGACCAGAACCGCAGATGGTCGAAACTTGCCAGGTCAGAATGTTTGCCTTAATCCTCAAAGAGAAACAGTTCTGCTGAGGCCAGGCTTTCTGAGGGCAAAGGGTCCCCTACCTGTGCAAAAGCAAAACTCCATCAACCATTTCAGAACAACCCTGAGGTTGTGCTCAGTGAATTGTCTGTAGTCTGTAGACTTAACCATGCTTTTTAAAAAAAATATGCACCTGAATGCAACTGTGCGACTAGATCTCAGAAGCTAACACACAGTTTACTTACTTGAGAAATCTTAATGAAGATTTCTGGACTTTCTCCATATTTCCAAAGTCTGGGTAAAATACTTCCACTTCCTGGTCACTGAGTACTTGATGAACAATAACTCGGTACCACCATGCGTCTTCTGAAGACCTTATACAACAAAGGTGGCCAGGCTGAATTAAGTCTTCAGGGATGACATAACGGTCAGCGACATTTTTATTAGAATAACAGCGTCTGAAAGACAGGATTCAAATAGGTTGCTAACAATGCAGTCTTCTACATCGGCGGTCCTCAACCTTTTTGGGATCGCGGACCAACTAAGCCTCTGAGGAAGGCGGGGCACTCGGGCGCATGCGTGAAGGGGTGAGGGAGCTCTCACGCCAGCGCTGGCACGCACAAACTTCCCTCCCCACACACAAAGCAGCTGTGGGGAGGGGAGTGGGGGGAGGTCTGTCTCCACGGGCCGGGCCGGCTCAGGCCACAGACCGGCACCAGGCCACAGACCAGGGGTTGATGATCTCTGTTCTACATCAACTACAGTAGTACCCCCACCAGACACATTTACACCTTGACAAGCTGGAAATGTTGCTGGCCAGTAAGAAGACCAGCTCATGGGCTGGGATTCAACCTACTCTGGAAAGGGTCAGGATCTCCTTGAAAGATCAGGTTCATAGTCTACGAGCAGCTACTGAATGCATTATTACAGCTACATCACTAATAATTTCAACAACTGCAAGAAATAAATAAATGCTTTTGCACAGCTCCATTTTGCATTTCCTGAATCAGTTTGACTTGGCAATAGTCATGTATGCCTCAGTTACAGGGCATCTTGAACACTAAAATGAACTCTATGTCAACTGGTATGTGGTATTACAATTACCATATTTTCCCATGTATACAACCCCCTAATGTATAAGGCAACCCCCTAATTTTTACCCTAGCCGGAGGAGGAGGAGCAGACAATGGGCAGTCACGAGAGCTGGCCGAGCGCAGCTGCTTCTTTGCCTCCGTTTCCGCCTCCTCCTCCTGCCTTATGTGTATAAAGCAATCTTAAATTTTTCCTCTAATTATTTTAGGAAAAAGTGTCATTTTATACACGGAAAAAAACATTATGTTACTTCAACACTGAAAAGCCTACCATGGTGACCAATGGCATGTTGGGCCCAATGCAAGATATTCGTTTTAACTGTAAAATGAGGACTTTCTTATGTGATCCTCAGGCTCCCTTCAAAACTGTGCCCAGTTCACACTTTTACTGCTTTTAGAGAGGATGTGAAGAAACTACCTTTTCAATCTAGTCTTTTAAGAAGCAGTTTTATGATTGATGATTTTATGACTTTATTCTTTCATTTGTTTTAGTGATGTTTGTTACATATCCTGCCCTTACATTAATAATGGTGCTCATCATAAATTAACCTTTTAAGAAATGACTAATATTTAATTGAGGATTGTTCTCAGAGAAGAAGCCTTGTAAAATACACTGAGCGCATTGAGTTGTATGTAGCCACTTTATGCATGTATTCTCTTATAAAAAGGGCATCCAATGCTATTTTGAGTGCTCCAATCTTAAAACTGTATCCTCCTATTGTATCCTCTCCAGCATTTTTGGCACTTGTCCTTCTAGGAACAGTGTATATACTTTATTGTTACAGGAACAAAGAAACAAAAATAGCTCAAACGAATATGTCAATGCATGCAAAATCTGGAGCCTTATGTAGCATTCCAAGGACTTTGTCCCCACAACAGTTCATCTTATTCTTTGGATTTTACATAAAAGTAGCTTTTATTCTTATTTAATTGCTCAATTCTTGTTTGAATCTATTATTTGACACATGGCATCGTTGACATGCAAATGGCTGGACAGCTCAGTGGCTTAGTATCTGGCTGCCAAGCCAGAGGTTGGAATTTTGATTCCCCACTGTGCCTCCTTGACAGGGGCTGGACTCGATTATCAACATAATTCCAGCTCTGTAGTTCCAAGATGATGATGATGATTATTTAAATAACTTAAGCAAGCAGTACAAACTCAAATAAATTTTACCTTTTTGAAATGGTGCACAATAGCACATTCACTTCCCATTTAGTAATATTACAAATGGTTAGACAATTATGCATACAAATTTCAACCTGCCACAGGCACATAAACACACAAAAGAAAACTGGGTTCTTATCTGCCCTACTCAGCATATAGACAAAAGCCAGACTTTTCAACTTTCTGACTGAACCAGACAAATATATGCTCACCTCATTTCAATCATCATGTCTATCAGTTTATCAGAAGTTTCCTCACTCTGGATTCGGACATAGAATTGTGAAGGTGACACAATAGATTCCACAAATAATCCCACCAAAGCACTGCTGCCCAGCTCAGGGAGTCCGTAAAGGCTTCCGCCCTGGACAGCATCCGGTGGGATTTCTTTTTCCGTTATTTCCTTCATTATGTGAAGCTCTTCCATACCAAGGTGCTGACAACACAAGGAAATAATAAATGAAACCCTTGAACACGCAGGACCCCAGACAAACTGCCATGGTTAAAAGATGCCAGGTGTCTGGCCAATTCAAGAGCTTTGAATATTTCTCCAGCCCTCTTTTCCCAACATAACACACACAGCACCGCATGCAACGACCCCAAATCAAACAGAAGGATAATAATCACATAGCACCCAGCCCATTTCTCCTTCACTTCACCCAGACTCTATTCCTTACCTTGAAAGGGGTTTCTTAGCACCACCTATCCCTTTAGTGACACTGACATCATCAGCAGAAAAATACCCTTTTCCTCCTTCCCAAACAACCATGCACTTTGAACACTAACTCATATAAACTTCATGAACTGGGAGGATAGCACAAAATAAATCCCACGGTGGGCTACACTAAGTGCAAAAAAATCACTATCCATAAAAAGCAAAAATCTCTCAGTGATTCACTCCAACAGTAGAAACGTGCTTTATCCTTCAGGGAAATTGTGAAAATGAAGTCTAGCAGGCAGAAAGTTAAGGACCCTTAGTGTGAAGGTTCGGTAAGCGGGTCCTCCCTCTCCCACAATAAACCAGGAGACTTCTTTAAATCAAAACAAGTTTCTGTATTTATTAACTTCGGCAACTGCAAAGGAACTTCAGGAACATTTGTGGTAAACCTCTCCTGAGGGAGCAACGGCTCAGACAGGGGTAACAACATGTCAGTTTCAAACGGGTTTGTAGATTTATGCTCCCACGGACCAGCCAGCATCCTTTCAGATTCCTGGAGCTCATCTTCACCCATCTCAGGTATCAGAAGGGGGAGGGTTTCCTCATCTCCGGACCACCCCCATATCGGCGATCCCTCCCCTGGTTTGGAATGCCAAGGTCCAGGAAGCAGCCCAGTATCTTCAGTTCCTCCAAATGCCATGCCCTTTTGGCTTCCTTTTCCCTCTCTGCCGCCTCCTTTTCTTCCCTCAGCCTTCTTCTCCACTCACGGGTTTCCGACTCACCCCAGTAGGATGGGCGCTGAGGGAGCCCCTTTCTTCTCTGATTCTCCGCCTTGTGTTTAGGAACCCGGACTTGCTCCCAACATCCGGTCCATGGATCTTGCATCCATATCATCTCCCAGCCACCCGGGATGTCGTCCCGGTTCACTCTTATATCCCCCGCTCCCGCCTCTGCTACAGCCCGCCTCTTCTCCTCTTTTCCCGCCATTTTGGGGCCGGTCTGTGTGGCCACTGTTAACCCCCTCATTCCCTTCACCAAGTCCTGGGTGTCAACTCCACGATGTGTCAGTCTAGGAGGAGTGGGTGGTGGAGTTGTCTGTGTCCCCCTTGATGCCTTGGGGAGAGACGGCACTCCTACTAAAGCTTCCTGAACGGGGCTTCGGGCTCCACACTTAGAGACAAAATGGCTTCTCAAACAATTTCCAGGCCTTTTAAAGAAAAAAAATGCTGCTGTTTTGGGTTTTTTTTTAACCAAATCTGCTCCACTACTGGGAGGAAGCCAGGGGCTCACCAACCATAGGGCAGACCTAAATCCCTATAAATACAGGCCACAGAAAGGGCATCTTATGTCATAGTTCTGGGGGAAAGGAAAGATATAAAACAAGTAAATAAACTGAGGGACCAGACTGTGAGTACAAAGTGAGCAGGAGAGCCATACAGTCACATGAAAATACTGGCCACGGAAAGCCGAAAAACAGAAAAAGTGGGGTCCCAACTGAGGTGCTGACTGCAGGCATCCTCCCTTGGCCAAGGTGGCTTTGCACCTTTATTCTTCTTCTTCCAGTAACACACACCACTCCATGTCACAACTATTTGCTTCAGGAACTCCCTGTGCCCTTGAAGGCAATCAAGGTGGAGGAGCTGAGAAGACTGCTGCTCAAGAAAATGAAACCCACTGCGCACTCAAATCTGTCTCTGTTTTTTTGAATTCTGGCTTTTTTATTATTATTGTTATTATTATTTTTTCATACAAAATACACACCCACAGAAAGAAAAAGAAAAAAGAAAAACCCTGTGCCCTTGAAGGCAATCAAGGTGGAGGAGCTGAGAAGACTGCTGCTCAAGAAAATGAAACCCACTGCGCACTCAAATCTGTCTCTGTTTTTTTGAATTCTGGCTTTTTTATTATTATTGTTATTATTATTTTTTCATACAAAATACACACCCACAGAAAGAAAAAGAAAAACCCAAAAATAATGCTAATAAAATCAAAAATAAAAACAAAACAAAACCCCACATATATAAGATGGGGGGAAGCATTTCCATACAATATTATTCATTCTTAAAAGTCTGACTGCATCGACCTTATTGCTCTATAAGCATTCCAAGTATGAGCCATCCTAAAGTTGTACTAAATTCTAGTGATTATTTCTCTCACATCCTTGGCTACCAATTGTTCCTCAGAATATCTATGCTACCATCATGAAAAATCCGCATTTCAGCAACAACAGTACCATACAAAAGACAAAACAGAGTAATATCACAAGATAATATATGTAACATTGGCTACTTAAACATATTATACTTCATTTGTGCTTAATATCTTTATAAAAATGCATTAAATAATCTCCTACACTATAATAACTTCAATTTACAATCTATGCAAATACAGTGGTGCCTCACACAACGATGTTAATTGGTTCCAAAAAAATTAACATTGTGTGAAACATCGTTCTGTGAAGCACCATTTCCCATAGGAATGCATTGAAAACCGGTTAATCCGTTCCAATTGGAACGGATTGCCGTCCTTGAGCGAAAATCCCCATAGGAAACATCACT